CCGGCATCCACATCGTCATCGTCATCATCACTGATGACGTCACCGGCATCCACATCGTCATCGTCATCATCACTGATGACGTCACCGGCATCCGCATCGTCATCGTCATCATCACTGATGACGTCACCGGCATCCACATCGTCATCGTCATCATCACTGATGACGTCACCGGCATCCACATCGTCATCGTCATCATCACTGATGACGTCACCGGCATCCACATCGTCATCGTCATCATCACTGATGACGTCACCGACATCCGCATTGTCATCGTCATCATCACTGATGACGTCATCAGTGACGTCACTGATGTCGTCACCGGCATCCGCATCGTCATCGTCATCATCACTGATGACGTCATCAGCGACGTCACTGATGACGTCACCGACATTCGCATCGTCATCGTCATCATCACTGGTGAAGTCATCAGTGACGTCACTAATGACGTCATCGGTACCCGCATCGTCATCGTCACTGATGACGTCATCAGTGACGTCAGTGATGACATCATCGGCATTGGGGTCACGTGACCCCCAAGGTAACGTGACCCCCCCCCTGGTTAGTTTAACCCCCCCCCCCAGTGCCCTTCCCTCCTCCTCCTCAAGAGCTGCGCTCTAATTCGGCGTTACAGGGAGTTGTAAGCGGCTTTCATTTTTTTTTGTCTACCAGCACTCTCTATTATTGCGAGTTTATTCATGCAAAATTGCATTCTCACGGGAGCTAAGCCAGATATCACTGGCGTTGGTTGTCTGAGTCGCGTTGCACAGAGGAAAGTGCTAGAATTTGCCAGCTGTTAAAAAAGTTCCGGCAACAACAAGAACAGGCAAGAGAAAGGACGCCGCAACGCTTTGAAAACACTACGCCGGCAACAGAAAGCTTTTTTTTTTTTTTATTGATAACAAGGAGTTAGAAAGAGTAGAAACCCGAAGACGTTAGGACGCCTTGCAAAGACACGGCGTCACTGTGCAAAGACTCAGCGACTCTGCAAATATATGGTCGTGCCAGGAAGACTAAGATTGGCTGTCTGCATCATCTGCGTTTTAATAATAATATTAATAGTAATAAACTTTATTTCCATTTCCAATTACAGGGTTATATGCGAAAAGTTTCGCATATGACGGTTTGATAAATGAATCAAAATGCTGCCGCAATATTTTTAAGCTTGGTGGTCGAGTTTTTAGCAGAAAATATGCATGCATGATAATATGCATTTCTGGTAGATATTGTGTATAAATAAATAAATATATAAATACGGTATAGCAGGGACGGGCAGTATCAGTATACGAATGTATCGCGATAGTATTGCAGTATTACATTATGTATTAATTATGTATTTATATTTATGTATCCCGGTACACTTTTTCAGCTCTATTTTGTATTTCTCTACCGAAATACATTTTCCCTTCTATTCCTGGTATCTCTATACTATTAGGGTCGATATATTTGGCTACAATTTAAAATAATGTTCAGCCTCCTCACAGAAGGTGAAGACAAATTTCGTCCGGCACGTTTTGTGTCTCTGACCCTAAATGAAAATGTTTATTAACTTTTGTTAAATGAAGACGCGGGTTCTTTATTCTCCAAAAGTTAACAAATATTTCCCTCACTTCACGGGATCGACCATTCCTGAAAATGCCAAAAGTTGAAGGCTCTGTCGGTGCGTCCAACTAAGAGATAGAAGAATACGGGTTCACTCAACTTCATTCCATAGAAACGTTGTAAGGTCACCGTGGAAAGAAGCACCCGGATTGGACATAATTATTGTGAATTTTTGGGGTTATTTGGGAGGACACAAAACTGATTTAAAGGAACCTGGTATTTGTTCTCAGAAGGTTAAGACATGCTAAAGTAAAACCGCGCTCCAGCAATGGTTAAAACATTACTTGCTTCCCTATACTTCTAGAAATGCAAGATGTTAATCCTGCAATAAATTGAATCCGAGAAAAAAGAACAGCAAAAAATAACATCAAAATCAAACTTCAAGCTGCATCTGGCAGTGAGTACTAGATTGCTAGTTTAAAAAGAAAACCTCGTATCCTTGATCATGCTTCTTTTTTGTCCTTCTTATACACTAAGGGGTGCTCCAAAAGATCTACAATAATGTTTTTATAACAAAGTATTTCAACGTCTGTATTTCTGCCCAACAAAATGTATTCCGGTATTTTCACTTCCAAATATTTTTGAGAGTATTTTTGCTCAGCCCTGCAAGAGGGGCATCTGTCGTCTTGTTTGTCCCCTCTTCTGAATAAGATGTATCTTCTCCAGCACCTTTAAGGTGCATTAGCCATAACTTTAAAAAGTTTGCATCTCCTCACCTGTAGAGTTTTTTTTTTTATTGTTATTATTATTTGGCGCATTTACAAAATACCCCGCCTTGTCTCCTGCCTTTAAGGTGTGCGGGCTTCAGTGGCGTATTTCCGTAAATTAGTTCGAAAAACAACTGATCATGAAATAAAACTAGGATTTGCGCCATTGCGGGTGGTGAGATGGTCAGTTCATTTAATAGCACGCCTATGTCGGCATCTGGTAACATCGCTAGCAAGGTGACACCTCCACGTTAAGAATGCAAAAACAAGTTTATCTTCACTCTAAAAAATCTTGTACGTATATTTGACCGCACAGCACTTGGGATAGCCAATCGCTGCAATCTACGAAGGTAACTGGGTGAATGCCGAGGATGAAAATATTTTTACACTTATAAAAACGCGTTTGCTCCTCTGTCGTACTGAGCATGAGGCTGCGCTGTGGAACTCAACTTGGCATTTTACGTGCCTGCGTTATGCTCAGTATTAGAACGCACACTATTTTCATATGCCGTAATATCCCGACAGTATAATAAGCGAAAGATAACCCACTCTTTTGTTTCACATGATATGCTATATTTTTCAAGAACACCGAAAGACAGCCCACTTCTAGTAATTGCCGTGCCCTGGGTAATGGTGACCACGGCCGAAATGGGGTTATACTTCGCTTCAGCTTCAGTCCAGACGCAGACGACGCTACGAGGTAATGCAGAGAGCAAATCGTCTGCTTCTCGCACAGGGGTTGCGTTTACGTCAGAACGACGCCGAGCTTTGATTGGCTTAGATTGGAAGAATAGTGGGTAGACTCCAATACTAGATGCCTCGAAGTCTACCCACTATTTTCTTTCAATCAGCCAATAAAACCCTGGCGTTCTGACATCATCGCAAATCCTGTGCGAGAGCAGACGAACTTGCGGTTCCCATGGGCCAATTTATGCGACATAACAGGTCATACGCGACATAAAAGAGGCACCTCCGCTAGCGTCTGAGATACGCGACCACTGAATTCTGACGTCAAGCAGCGTCCTAGCCAGCGCCCCATCGTGCACAATCTACAGGCATAAACTAGCGTCTCCCAGCGTCCTTCCGCATCTATCCACGGGCACCTACGGAAGGTTTGAAAGAAAGCAACGCGACAAAAACGCGGCCTAAAAATATTCTTTTTTTTTTTTCGGCAGGGGCGCTGCTTGAAACTTGACAGCTACAGGTCAACGGGACTAATCTATATAGCAGCGTTAAAAGCGCGTGTCACTAGGCATTCTACGTTTATAATTGGTTAAGCAATGATATTTCAAGAGCCCCTTAGGGTAGTAGTAGAAAAAATGAAATTAAATAAAACAAGTGAATGAATATGACGACCACCACGATGGTGCACTTTTGACGCTTTCTGATTGGTACCACACACTAAAAAAAGTTTGTGCTTCTACTTTCGCGCACAATCCTCGGAGAGCCAATCAGCGCGACTCGTGAAGGCAGCTCAGCGAATGACGATGCCGAAACATATGTCTAGACCAAAAAATGCAGTCTGAGTTGTGACATTAAGCAATGCGAAACGTCACGCTTGCATTGCTTAATGTCACAACTCAGACTGCGTTTTTTGGTCTAAACATATGTTTCGGCATTGTCACTCGCTGAGCTGCCTCGGTAAGTTGCGGTGATTGGCTCTCCGAGTGTCGTGCGGGAAAACAGACGCACGGGCTTTTTTTAGAGTGCATCTGCTCGTAGCGTCGGCTGCGTCTGGACTTAAGGTGAAACGAAGTACAGTCAGCTACGGCGGGAGATCCGCAATAACTGTCAATAGGAACGAATAGTCGTCTACATGCGCCACTGCCCCTCAATGTGGAGAAAAAAATGTTTGGCAGGTCACAGAACGCAAAATTAGCCTTTTTTTAAAAACTTTTTCCGCTCGCACTCTCAAAGATAGCCCGCTCCTCGTATTCACCCGATCTGCTCTCGCCTTTCGGCGAGGCCATCTCGCGGCGTAGTACGGCAGGTATGCGCATATTTCCAGCCTCGTCGCTCGCCAAGCTCTATGGATTGCTGCGATTGGCTGTCCCAATGGCTTCGCGAGAACGTATAGAGGCACCATATGGTCGCCGACAGTTTGAGAAACGTGAGGCGCGTCTTCGCTATCTCCACGCTCCTTGCTCGCTGATTGGTTCTTCGGAGCTCGTACCCGCGAATGCCGCAACGGCACTGGCTCTGTGGGCGATAATGAGATGCTCTAAACTCGCCGCACTCTGCGCTTCCTAAACCGTCAGTGACTCTAGATTCCTTAAAGCATGGAGGAAGGAAGCTTCTGTAGGCGACCTGACGCCACCACAAGTGAAGCCAGAAGCGTAGAGGATCACGCCCCCAACTATGACCAAAAGCACAGCTGTTTTGGTTACCCTCAGGGGACACCCGAGGGTGACCAGAACAGTCATGGTTTGGCTGCTTTGGTTGTCGTTGGTGGGCGTGTCCCTCCACACTTCTGACTTCACCTCTGGTGGTGTCATGTCACCTCCAGAAGCTCCATACCTCCATGCATTAAAGCGACGCGTGCCCAAAGATATATCAATGCGACTGTTTAAAATTCGCAGAACATAAAGGGGTCCCACCGAGTCGTTAACATGTCTTACCATTACGTTTTGTTTGATAAAAAAACGCGTAAAAACCGAACAAATAAAATTGCTTTTTTTCTTACATATTTTTCAGGCACAGCAAGTTGGGATGCTCACGGAATACCACAACTACATCGCAACGTCCCTGGTAAGCCAAGCCGATTTTTTTGTTGCGCTGTCAAGATTATTTTAAAAACAAAAGGTGCTTAAGACACTTTTTTTTTCTCTCTCTCAGATTCGAACGAACTGTGAAGGTTTAAATGCAGCTACCTTAAAAACTACGCGTGTGAGGTTATATTTCGACTTCACTAGCAAGAGCGGCGTTGTTACTATTTAAATTATTTTTCCTAGTTCGGCCCGTCACCCCTTGCCGCGCGCAGAATAGCAGGAAAGCAAAAGGGAAAACTAGAGCCGTAGATGTAGAGAGTTTGATTATTTTTTGGTAAAAATAGGGCTAAAATATGGAAACGTCATTGGCCTAAATTGTTTCAATGAATGTTCCAACTGGCCCATCAAAACACATTTTTGTTTGAATTACCTTGGGCGCGATGATTGACGGCTCTTGTGATGAACCAGAAGCCACAAATATTCTCCTAGCGAGGCAGTAAGCTTGACAAGTATTTCTAGGTAAGGATGTCTTCAATTATTTAATTTCAGCACACTATAGTTGAGATTTATGACTCTTCATAACTGAAAGGGAAACGCACGTGATGTTGTGGTCACTGCGACATTCAAAACGCACTTAATTGTTTATTTCATTGCACTCCGCGGTCGCGGCCGCTGCCGCGGCCGCTACCGCGGCCACGGCGGAATGGACGCTAGAAACTGCGGATTTGGCTCCGTGAGAGTTTTGACCCAAACCCCGAACGCGCACCCCACATTAGCAGCTTCGCCTCATGTTTCAGAAAATTAGTCTTGTCAGTGTCACCTTTCTTGGCTCAGCAAGCGCACTCAGCACCTTGAAACCCCCCTTTGCCACCGATATCTTAGAATTATACATTCAAGTATTTTCAGTCTCATTCAGAAACCAAAAAAGATTCTAGATACACCTGATCACTTCTTATAAGTTGTGAATGCGAAAGCATGAATGTCGTTCTTGCGCGCGCTCTCGTGAAATGACCGCGCCGCGCTGACATCGGCCGTGCTGCACTGTGTAGTCTGCCCGAGCATGGCTTTGGGGCCCCGCCGCCAGCCGATTCCTTTTACCGGCGAGCTGGCGGCGCGGGCCCGCAGCGCCATGAGGTGGCGCTCTTGAAACTGACACGCGGTGGCCAATGGGAGCATCGTTCCTTGAAACTATGACGCGCGCTAGCCAATTGTAGCTATCAGATTTCGGCTTCACTTAGCTTTCTTTTTTGGTGAGGTCAATTTAGCTGCCGTTTTGCGTTGCTTTTTGCGCGGCTTCAAAGCTCATGACGTCGGCTCGCTTCATGGGACAGTAAATGCTTTCGCAGTACAAATCCTTCAAGGTCATCCCAGCTCATTCTTTCTTCTTAAGCTCATCACAGAAGGAATACGCGGCGCTGGCGTCGGCGACGCTTTCGCCGCTCCACCCCGGCTCCCGCCGGCTCCTCCCCATGACCAGACTGTCAATATATACGGCTCTGGGGAAAACTAGCGAACGTGACGTCATCGGCTGTGTCAGATGTCCCTTGAAGTCCTGTAAGCCTCCTCGCAGACGCCGTCGATGATGTCACGACACAGTTGAAAAACTACAGGTGAGAAAGAAATTACAGGTGGCAGATAGGCTCACTACATTTCCTGCGGTAATCGCTGCACGTCTCTTCAAAGAAGCGCTTAACCTCTACTTTTGCCCATCGTCATGAGGGGATGATATTCAGTTCAGGACACAAAAACTGTCGAAAGCCGCCCTTAACTTTTTTATTGTGATACATTAAAAGGTGTATCGAACCCAGGGATCATGGGTTAGATCCAAGTCCCTGCTCATTTCGATCTGGATGAGCATCGTACCGGCGTGCGGTCGTGTATCACTACTGCGTGGTGCACATTAAAGTCCCCAGGCTAGCGGCTGTAAAGCACTGGCTAAATTGCTCATTTGCAGCTGGAAGGCAAGTCGCCCGTTGAGGCAGACAAAGTTCTAGGCTGCATAAACATACACAGAATCCCAATTTTGCTACTACTCCAGATGTTCAGCTTTGTATATTCTGGCCTCTTAGTGCTCCGTAGGTAAGCGCAGTAGAACATTTCAGCTCAATGTGCATGCACCCCATTGCGCCGCGTGTATGCGGAGCGGCAGTAGGCACTCCTTCACATTCGCACCCTCTTCGAAGGACATGACGACCTTAAAGGGGTATTCACACGAGGAAGAAATCCCGGGGATTTCTCCCCGGCACGCGCATCCCACGCCGAAAACGTCAGGCTTTGCGATGTGCAAAAGCCTCGCGTTTTCATCTCGTGATGCGCGCGTGCCGGGGAGAAATCCCCGGGATTTCTCCCTCGTGTGAATACCCCTTAACGTCGTCCTCAGCGTCGTCCTAGAAGTCGTCCTATGACGTCGTCCTTCAGGTAGACCTAGAGGTCGTTCTTTAGGTCGTCTTAGAGGCCCTCCTTGAGGTCGTCCTAGAGGTAGTCCTTGAGATCATCCTAGACGTCATCTTTGGCGTCGTCCTCTAGGACGTTGCCCTTAATTAAGGTCTTCCTAGGGGCGTCCTTGAGGTCACCCTAGAAGTCGTCTTAGAGTTAGTTCTAGGTGTCTTTGACGTCGTCCTCTAGGACGTTGCCCTTAATTAAGGTCTTCCTAGGGGCGTCCTTGAGGTCACCCTAAAAGTCGTCTTAGAGTTAGTTCTAGGTGTCTTTGGCGTCGTCCTCTAGGACGTTGCCCTTAATTAAGGTCTTCCTAGGGGCGTCCTTGAGGTCACCCTAGAAGTCGTCTTAGAGTTAGTTCTAGGTGTCTTTGACGTCGTCCTCTAGGACGTTGCCCTTAATTAAAGTCTTCCTAGGGGCGTCCTTGAGGTCACCCTAGAAGTCGTCTTAAAGTTAGTTCTAGGTGTCTTTGGCGTCGTCCTCTAGGACGTTGCCCTTAATTAAGGTCTTCCTAGGGGCGTCCTTGCGGTCAAACTAGAAGTCGTCTTAGAGTTAGTTCTAGGTGTCTTTGACGTCGTCCTCTAGGACGTTGCCCTTAATTAAGGTCTTCCTAGGGGCGTCCTTGAGGTCACCCTAGAAGTCGTCTTAGAGTTAGTTCTAGGTGTCTTTGACGTCGTCCTCTAGGACGTTGCCCTTAATTAAGGTCTTCCTAGGGGCGTCCTTGAGGTCACCCTAGAAGTCGTCTTAGAGTTAGTTCTAGGTGTCTTTGACGTCGTCCTCTAGGACGTTGCCCTTAATTAAGGTCTTCCTAGGGGCGTCCTTGAGGTCACCCTAGAAGTCGTCTTAGAGTTAGTTCTAGGTGTCTTTGGCGTCGTCCTCTAGGACGTTGCCCTTAATTAAGGTCTTCCTAGGGGCGTCCTTGAGGTCACCCTAGAAGTCGTCTTAGAGTTAGTTCTAGGTGTCTTTGGCGTCGTCCTCTAGGACGTTGCCCTTAATTAAGGTCTTCCTAGGGGCGTCCTAGAGGTCACCCTAGAAGTCGTCTTAGAGTTAGTTCTAGGTGTCTTTGGCGTCGTCCTCTAGGACGTTGCCCTTAATTAAGGTCTTCCTAGGGGCGTCCTTGAGGTCACCCTAGAAGTTGTCTTAGAGTTAGTTCTAGGTGTCATTGACGTCGTCCTCTAGGACGTTGCCCTTAATTAAGGTCTTCCTAGGGGCGTCCTTGAGGTCACCCTAGAAGTCGTCTTAGAGTTAGTTCTAGGTGTCTTTGACGTCGTCCTCTAGGACGTTGCCCTTAATTAAGGTCTTCCTAGGGGCGTCCTTGAGGTCACCCTAGAAGTCGTCTTAGAGTTAGTTCTAGGTGTCTTTGGCGTCGTCCTCTAGGACGTTGCCCTTAATTAAGGTCTTCCTAGGGGCGTCCTTGAGGTCACCCTAGAAGTCGTCTTAGAGTTAGTTCTAGGTGTCTTTGGCGTCGTCCTCTAGGACGTTGCCCTTAATTAAGGTCTTCCTAGGGGCGTCCTTGAGGTCACCCTAGAAGTCGTCTTAGAGTTAGTTCTAGGTGTCTTTGACGTCGTCCTCTAGGACGTTGCCCTTAATTAAGGTCTTCCTAGGGGCGTCCTTGAGGTCACCCTAGAAGTCGTCTTAGAGTTAGTTCTAGGTGTCTTTGACGTCGTCCTCTAGGACGTTGCCCTTAATTAAGGTCTTCCTAGGGGCGTCCTTGAGGTCACCCTAGAAGTCGTCTTAGAGTTAGTTCTAGGTGTCTTTGACGTCGTCCTCTAGGACGTTGCCCTTAATTAAGGTCTTCCTAGGGGCGTCCTTGAGGTCACCCTAGAAGTCGTCTTAGAGTTAGTTCTAGGTGTCTTTGACGTCGTCCTCTAGGACGTTGCCCTTAATTAAGGTCTTCCTAGGGGCGTCCTTGAGGTCACCCTAGAAGTCGTCTTAGAGTTAGTTCTAGGTGTCTTTGGCGTCGTCCTCTAGGACGTTGCCCTTAATTAAGGTCTTCCTAGGGGCGTCCTTGAGGTCACCCTAGAAGTCGTCTTAGAGTTAGTTCTAGGTGTCTTTGGCGTCGTCCTCTAGGACGTTGCCCTTAATTAAGGTCTTCCTAGGGGCGTCCTTGAGGTCACCCTAGAAGTCGTCTTAGAGTTAGTTCTAGGTGTCTTTGGCGTCGTCCTCTAGGACGTTGCCCTTAATTAAGGTCTTCCTAGGGGCGTCCTTGAGGTCACCCTAGAAGTCGTCTTAGAGTTAGTTCTAGGTGTCTTTGACGTCGTCCTCTAGGACGTTGCCCTTAATTAAGGTCTTCCTAGGGGCGTCCTTGAGGTCACCCTAGAAGTCGTCTTAGAGTTAGTTCTAGGTGTCTTTGGCGTCGTCCTCTAGGACGTTGCCCTTAATTAAGGTCTTCCTAGGGGCGTCCTTGAGGTCACCCTAGAAGTCGTCTTAGAGTTAATTCTAGGTGTCTTTGGCGTCCTCTAGGACGTTGCCCTTAATTAAGGTCTTCCTAGGGGCGTCCTTGAGGTCACCCTAGAAGTCGTCTTAGAGTTAGTTCTAGGTGTCTTTGACGTCGTCCTCTAGGACGTTGCCCTTAATTAAGGTCTTCCTAGGGGCGTCTTTGAG